TTTCCCTTGTAGCCCAGATATCCCGCCCCTGGGCATTTGCCCACGAGAGAGGAAAACATGCAGCAGCCACAAGACCTGGACACACGTGCTCAGAGCAGTTTTCCTCCTAAGACCTCTGGACACAACACAAACACCCAACCACAGGAGAATTGGGCAAATGAATCGCATTAAAGCCATGTTGTGGAATAGTATACAGCAAGGAAAAAGGACAAAGAATGTGGGTGAAATCTTAAAGGCATGATGCTGAGCAAAAAGCAACCAGATCCTAAACAGAACCCACTGTGATTCTGTTTATCTAAAGTTCAAGAACAGGGGAAATGAACCAGTACTGTTAGCTGACAAGATCCTGGTTCTCTGGGAGGCAGCAGGAGGGAGCCAGCCAGGGAGGTGGAGGCGTGTTATGTACTGAGCTGAGCATGGATACTTCAGATCTGAGTGTCTGGCACATTTTGTTGCATGTTATATCTCAACCGGAAGGTGGATCTATACTGTCACTATAACAAACAGAAAAATTGGGTAGCACTTTAAATACTTGAACTATCAGTAGCATTAAAAAGCGTGGGTGATGAGGATATAGACAGAGAGTAGATGCTGCTCTGGGTGTGGCAGGTCAGGGAGGCTGGGCAGGCTGGGGTCTCTGTGGGGAGGGGGTTGCGGTTGGTCAGGGTGGAGCAGGGCTAATGGGAGAGACAGGTTGGCACAGAGGAAAGTGCTCATCAAAAAGAATTTGCCAGAAATTTCCAGGCACAGTATTTCCAGTTTGGCTGGGAGCCATGGTCTCTTAGTCTTATAAAAATCAGTGAAATTCCTTAAAAAGTTAAACATGGAATTACTATATGACCCAGCAGTTACCCCCTAGGAATAGACCCCCAAAGGACTGAAGACAGGGACTCACGTAGACATTTTTACATTTGTGTTCATAGCAGCATTATTCACAACAGCCAAAAGAGAGAAATGGCTCAGATGTCCATCAGTGGATGAGTGGATAAACAAAATATGGTAATTCCATACAATGGAATATTACTCAGCCATAGAAAGTAATGAAACACTGACACACGCTACATGTATGGACCTCGAAAACATGATGCTGAATGAGAGAAGCCAGACACAAAAGGCCACATAGTGTGTGATTCCATTTATATGAAATGTCCAGAATAAGAAATCCGTGGACACAGAAAGGTTGGTGGTTGCCAGGGGCTCAGGGGTGGCGGGGGGTGGGGAGTGACTGCTCATGGTATGGGTTTCCTCTTTATGTGATGAAATGTTCTGAAATTAGATAGAGGTGGTGGTTGCACAATCTTGTGAATGCCCTAAATGCCACGGATTGGCTCATTTTAAAAAGGTTAAGTATATGTTATGTGAATTTCACTTCAAATTAAAAAAACAACAGTGAATTCGCAACACCAGGGCCTTTGCATCTTCTAAAAGGATCTTGGCCCCTGGAGAGGGCAACCTAGAACTTCCTCCTTCAAGAAACTAACAAAATAAAATGCAGAAGCCTCTTGTGGTCACAGAAATAGCCCCAGAGAGGGTAAGGAGCTTGCTCAAGGTCGCCCAGCAGGGGGAACAGGTCTGTGGGGCTCCTGGGTGAGCCTGGGAGGGGACCAATCTGGTTCCTTATCTGTTGAATAGGAAGCGTGAAGGAAGTGGGCAAGGAGCACCCTGCCTGCTTTGCCCCACTCCCACCCGAGGACAGCTGGAGGAATTAGGTGGGTAGCACTGGGTGTAGGGCCCCTGCTTGGTCCTGGTGCCCTGAGGACTGCTCCAGCCTATCTTTGGGCCTCAGTTTCCCCATGTGTGCAGTGTGGGGACTGTGAAGCTCAGGCAGGGGCTGGGCGACCTGCTGTGAGCTAAGGTTCCCCAAGTTTGGGAAGGTCAGCATGACCCTGACTTGGCCCTGACTTGGTCCTTAGTCTGATGAGTGGGGGTCACAGGCATACCTTGAGACCAGGGCCCCCAGCGCCCCTACCCTCCCTCCATCTGTAGCTTTCTTAGCTTCCTCCACAGGGCTGAGAGAGCACAACTGGGTGATCAGGGAGCATTCAAAACCTGCAACCTTTCCATGACCTTTCCAAGCCTCAGTTTCCACATCTGTCAGGTTGGGCTGCAGTGAGAACCCCCAGGAGGGATAGCAGGGGTGTGGGCGCCCTTGTGCTCAGAGAGGGCCTGAGCCCCTCTTCCTATGGCCTGTCTGGCCCACCTCTCCCTGTGGCCTTGGTCCTGGTGGAGTGGTCCCCAAGCATTTATTTCTGACCCATGGGCGCCCCCTGGTGGTCAGGACTGGCAGAGCCATGTGGGCATATTCCCAGGTCCCGGTCCCAGCCTCGCACTGCCCTGGACCCTGGGGACACAGCAGTGACAAATCAGAGGACCCTGACATAGGGGGGCTTTTGGGAAGATAGGGCACAGGAAAATGTGGGAAAAAAGGGCAAGCTGGAGTGTCTGGGGGAAGCTGACATTTGAGTTGAGCTGTGGGTGTCGAGGCCGCGGCCAAGAGAAGGTGCACCAGGCAGAGGGAACTGCAAGGGCAAAGCCTCCAAGGTGAGAAGCCTGGGGCACAGATGAGGGTGTGGCTGGAGCAGAGGGCAGGAGGGCGGGAGCGGAGGCCAGAGAGGGGCCAGGGCTGGATCACAGGGTAAGGAGTAAGCGTTTTATTCTGAGGACACGGGATGTCACGGTAGGGCTTTGAGTAGGGGAGGAACGTGGTCTGAACTACAATCTTAATGAAAAGCAGTCTTACACATCACAAAAAACATTGGTGATTATTTCACAAATGTCCAGGCGTGCACCACAGGCCAGAAGAAATAAAACTTGCCAGATGCAGTTGAAGCCCATGGTCCTGGCTCAGCCCCGTCGACGGCTCTCTCACCCCAGCAGGTACCATGGTCTAGGATTTGCGGTTAGTTTTTCCTTGATATGATTTTATATTTTATTACAGACTATGTGGACATACACGATACAAAATGTTGTTTACGATTTTAAAATTTCTATAAATAGAACTTCCTCCTGCAGTTTTCTCATTTCGTTAACATGGTTTCTATTCTTTTTAGCTGTATTTTCTGTTTAAGCTTTGAAAGCCGAGGTGTAACGCCCACACACAGGGTGCAGTGCTCGTCTTCAGTGTGCGGCTCAACGCACTGCCTCCTGCAGCACACGAGCGTGCACACTTTACACGTTGCTGGTCTTGCGGTTTTGTTAAGCACTTTTTTCCCTGCCCATCGGATGAGTGTGAAACAGTATCTAATTGGGATTGCTTATTTCAATTATGACAAGTTTGAACATCTTTTCATGTTTGCCATTTGTATTTCATCAGAATTGTTATTCACATATTTTGCCCATTTTTCTATTGGGTTCTTTTCTAACTGATTTGTAGAAGTTATCTGTATAATTTGTATACAGATTATTTGCCTTGTTAGATGTTGTAATAGTCCTGTCTTACCAGTGTTGTTTTCTAAATTTGAGTCGTTTTTCCTTTAATCGCTTAGTGTACTTACTGCATATTCTGTCTGATGATAATCCTTATACGAAGACCTTGAGGATCGGATTCTGCTTATATTGTCTGCTCTTACATGTTTTGTAATTTTTGGGATATGCACCTATGTGTAGGATGGCTTTATCTATGAGTGAGAACCTTGGAGTTTCCTCCGGAGAGGTCTGTTTCATAAACATCTTGGCTCAGACCATCTGCACAGTGTACTATTCAGCTCTAAACTGGTGGTACAAGACTTCAGGGGAGGCCTTTTCTCCATCAGCTCTCCAACCAAGAATGTTAACAGTGCTTCCTGTCTCCAGAGGGCAGGCAGCTTTTCTCATCAGTCCACCGTCCTACTGCCAGTGTAATTATGACTTCCAAGGGTCTCCACTTCGCGCAGGGGTCTCCGTGGCATTTCACAAACCTCCACAGGCCCTAAGTCCCGTCCAATGCCTGGCCCTTAAATCCAAACTCTTAGGCTCCCGAGAGCGACCCCAGCACCAGCTCGTGCTATTCCTTTGGTGCCTGGTTCCCATTCTGGGCTCGTGCAGAGCTCCCTTGCTTTATTGTGGGCTCGGCTGTGCACATTCACTTTATTTTACTCACTTCTGTGTGGTTACAGTGGGCTTCCAGATAACTGTCCCAAACATTGCTGAGCAGAGGCCTGCTCTGCACTGCAGATGACCTCTCGCTCTGTTCCTCAGAGGCTCTAGAGGCTGGAACTTGGCTTCCAGGGATGGCAATGAGAATGGAAGATGGGGCTGGGTCCAGGGCCCTCTGGAGGGGACTGTCAGGCTTGCTGTGGATATGGGTATGGTAGTGGGGGGCGGGGCATCACAGGTGCCTCCCAGGACCTGGCCAGAGCCCTGGGCTGGGGCAGTAGCCTTCACTCCATGTGTGCAGAAGGCCGAGCTTCTACTCAGGCTGATGCCCACTAGGCCTACAAGGGGAGAGCTGGGTGATGTGGGAGATGGAAGAGGGAGCTCGGCCCTTGAAGGCGAGTGGGGCGGGCAGGGCCATCAGTGCTGGGGAGGCAGTGAGCGTGAGAAGTGCAGGGGGTGGGAAGACGAGGCCTTCCTGTCCCTGTGCCTGCTGCTTTCCCCTCCTGGACCAGGCAGCAGTTGTCATATTCCAGGGCACGTACAGACCACGTTAATAAATCTCCTGGGCCCCGTGCTGAGACTCTGCCCAGCAGGTCAGACTAGACCCGTGAATCTGGTACGAGGACCACACTCTCAGGAAGACCTTCAGGCTGGGGAGGGACAGCAGCAAGCTCTTGGTAATCTGTGGGCTGGGGGTCACAACAGTCACCTTGGATGAGAGGAAAGTATTTTGCTTGCGTGCCCTCCAGGAGGGCCAGGCCTGGTGGTCCAGTGCAGTGGCTCTGCCTTCCACTGATTGCCTGCTCCTGCCTTTATCTGGGGACAAAGGTGCTGGGAGCCAGTGACACAAGCAGGGCCACACAAAGGGTGGGCCCTGGTCACCCAAGAGGTGTCCAGACCATGCTGCATCTGAGGGAAGGCAGGCAGTGGGTTTAATTCATGAAATTTAATGTAATCGTGACATGAACACAGATGGGGGTAACCAAGCACAGATGCGGATGACCCATGCCCCCCACCCTCCAAGGCCAGCGGCCCTCACTACACCCACCTCATCAGATGTGGCTGCGTGACAACATCACGTGGCACAGGCTGGCCCTGGGGATGTGCCTTGTCAAAGCCTATGGGTCCAGGCCAGGAGCCCTCAAGGGGCCAAAGTGCTGGGTTTTGGCCCCATGTGGAGAGCAACACACTGTGGGAGGAGGTCAAGGAACAGGGGGTACCCTGTCCTAAGTGCTGCCCGAAAGCTTCAAGATGAGGGGCAGGAGGCGCAGACAGTGAGGTTCACACAAACAGCAATGAAAGAAGATGAAACCCCGGAGCTTCATAAACGGTCAGCAGAACGGGGCGGCGGCCCTGCTGCAGCCTGGCAAGTGTCTCCCGACCTTTTTTGGTGCCTGGGAGGTAAACAGCCCAGAGGCTGCACGTGACCACTGGGGGAAAGATTCTACTTCCTTTTCCCCAGACTGACTCGGGGCAGAGACAGGACATCTGGAAGACGAGCCTCTTCTGGGAGAAGGGGCTTTGGCGACAAGTGGTGATGAAAGAACAGGTGTGCCTGGAGGAGGAGTCTCCCAGCAGGGCTGGGAGGGTGGCTGGTGTCGGGGTGCCCTCCTCCTTCCGGTGGGCTTGGCAGGCCTTCCTCCCAGTGCTTCCACCAGGAGCCCCCATGCCAGAGCTGGGGTACTGTCCCCTCACTGGGTCCGGAGCTGGTAATCTAAGAGGGAGGTATGTGTGAGGGCCACCCCGGGGCAGCCATTTGGCCACCGGGGACCTTCTCGGGACCCTCTCACCCCCGCCCCATGAGTGGGCTGCACGCACCTCCGTTCTGAGTGATGTAACGGACCCAGGGCAGGGCCTGGTAGCCACTCTTCTCGATGATCTTCAGGTAGCGTACCTGGGGCACACACACCAGAGTCCTGAGCATGCTGTGCTGTCCCACTGGCCCCACTTAATCACTTTCACCAGGGTGGGGGGAGAGGCTGTGGTGAGTGGGCGAGCACAGGCCGCCAAACCCAGAGGAGGGGGAGGAGGGCATCAGCCTGTCTACGCCACGCCGAGGCCGTGGGAGGGCAGAGCGCTTCCAGAAAACGTGGCCAAGAGCCAGGATGTGCTCATAGGCATAGCACTCAGCAGATTCCTGGAGGAGGGGTCCAGGGTTCTGTCCCCTGGCAGGTTTTCCCCAGAGGGGCCTAGGAAGACCGGCCCCACCGGGATGAGTGTGTGGACACCAGAGGCTCAAACTCTAGTTTCGAGGGGCCAAATGCATCGTTGGGCTTGGAGCTGAAGCACGGGGCAGGTCTGAGTAGATAAGTGTGGGCCTCTTTCTGTTGGGGCCCAGGCTGCCCGTGGGGAGAGGCAGAGCTGGGGCAGGACCACGGCACCTGAGACAAGCCGACAAGAATGCTTTTCTAAGCTGGTTGCATTGCTGTGTGTCACCTGCAACCCCTGAGGCCTAGACTGACTTTGAGTTCCTGAGAGGCCCTGTGGGGCCTGTCCATATCTGCTCTGGGCCCTGGAAGCCCTGGGCACGTACCTGAATGCCAGAGGTAGTGAAGTAGGGGATCTCGAATTTGACGCTGATAGGGGGCTTGCCCTCCTTGTCCTCAGCCTCCACGCTGGGCAGGCCAAAGTGGGCCCGCATCAGGTACTCCTTGCCGCCCTGGGGGAGCAGACAAGAGTGGGGATGACCAGGCCAAGGCCTTGACCCAGCTTGGCCAAAAGACTGTCAGCCCGGCCACCGAGGCCCTTCCTGTGTGGCCAACAGCCACTCAGGGTCTCAGCAACTCTAATGCACATACACGGATCCTCCAGGCCTCACAGACTGCCCCACCAGTCCCACTAGGCAGACCAGAGGCCATGCTAGGGAAAATCTTAGAATTCTAAGGGTCAAGAGAAAGTTTCACAAGCTTCCAGGGAGACAAAACTAATTGCCTCCAAGAAAATGAGACCAACTGGTCTTGGGAAGAAAGAAGAGAGAGGGAGAACGCAGGTGCTAGCTACCGTGGGACATGAGTCCAAGTGAACACCCACGTGCCCAGCGTCAGGATGGTATGACAGCAAGAGGGAGCTGTCAGAATGAGGAACGGGAACAGAAAGCGGCAACAAAAGAGACGAAGGCTGGGGGCTGACCGAGGAGCTGGCCCCAGGTCTTGTTCCTGGAGGGCAAGTAACGGGGTGGCTCTGGCCCCGGAAGCTAGGCAATGACTCTAGGGATGGGTCCTGGAGCAGGGCCAAGAATGACTGGAACCTGAGTCCTGGCCACAAAGAGTAAGGAGCCTCGGTCTGGCTGTCTACGCTCCCTGAACGTTTTGCCCACAGCAGTGGAGACTAGGCAGAGCACAGGTCTTGTCACACATGGGACACTGCTATCTTGGATCTCCAGGGCTCTGGCAGCAGGGTTGGCTGCCAACCAGGGCTGCTTCTGCCCCAGAGCAGGGGCTGTCCTCGTGCCTTGGGCAGAGCCACGGCTCCCAGCACTGGGCCCGTGCTTCTCTCCCCGGGATGGCGTGCTCACTCTCTGTTCACGGCCGCCAGGGCCTGTGTGAGAGCAGGGACTCTGCCTCAGTCTGACGTGTGCTGAGTAAAGGCTCTGAGACAATGAGGGGAGGATGATGTGGTCTTAGCAACAGACAAAGCAAACGGCAAAGAAAAAATATCAGCTTCATCAGCATGTATATGAAACAATAACCAGACCAAAAACCTGAGACTTATAAAGACAAGGAAAAATGATAGCAAAAGAACGTGCAGAGAAGTAGCCCTTTTGGAGGGTCGAGAGAGTCTGCACACTCACCTCAAGTAGGTCATGTTGACATACAGGGGTTTAATTCTTCTATTAATGGGAAACACTTATAGGTTGGCTTACAGACCAAAACCCAACTCTATGCTGCCACAGCGGAAAAAGGCTAAACCAGTAGGAAGAACAGGCAAAGGCAAACAAAATGGAGTGGGAGTTGCTGCCACAGGGACAGTTCAGGGCAAGAATTACAGGCCACAGTCTTAGAGGCTATAGTTCTATGATTCACAGAGAAGCTATAAAAGTTATGAGTGTCTATGTACCAAGTAACATGGCAGCAATTTTGTAAAGCAAATGCTGCAAGAGATGTGAAGGGAACCAGAGGGAGGCAGAGCCAACCCAGCTCTATCTAAGGGATGTTGTCACGACACAATGGCAGACCTCGTGGGCACCATGTGACAAACTTTCTACTCAAATAACAGAAGCCTTATCTTCTTCTCAAGTCCATATGGGATATTTACAAACTCTGATCTTACACTGGCCCACAACAAACACTTCTAAAAATTCTAAAAGTAGTTAACAGTACAAATAACATTCTTTGACTTTAAGGTACTAAATCTATAGAGTGAGGAGAAAATGGAAAACAAAAGGTCCTTCCATCATGAAATTAAAAACAAAACAAAAAAAACAGAATTCTATTTGATTACAGAATTTCTAGATAATGATGATATCAAATATTATATGTCGGATTCTATGGGTTATACAGCTATGGCCCTTGCCTCAAGAAGAACATCTGTAGTTCAAATACAGCATACAAATTTAAAAACAACAAAAAAATCGAATTAAAACATTTAACTCAACAAATTAGAATTAGAAAAAAGGCTAAGAAATTAAAATTAAAGACTTGTAAAATGGTAAAATATTACAAGTTAAAAAGCGAATCTGAAAAAAAAAAAGACACCACTAGATGACCTTATCAAGGAAAAAAGGAGACACAAATATACAAAATAAAGACCGCTTTCTATAACTTTGTGTAGACAAATTTGAAAACCTGCTTAGAATGGATCATTTTATAAGAAAATATAATCTACCCAAACAGACTCCAACAGAAACAGAAACTCTAAATGGCCCAATTTCTATTCCAAGAGACAGAGAGAGTAGCAAAGATCCAAACAGTCACACACTCGAATTCTATCGACTATCTCAAGACCAGACAATCTCAAGACTATTTAACTGCCCAGCAGCAAGAGAAAGGGAAGCAAAAAGTTATGAAATGCGCATAACACTGATACCTGATAGAGACTGTACCGAAAAATCAATCTCAGTTATGAATAGCAATGCAAAAATCCTAAATGCAACAATGTTAACCAACAGAATGCAATGGTGCATTAAAAATAAAATATACCACAAGCAGGTGGAGCTGACCAGAAAGCACAGATGGTTTGAGATCCATGTCATTAATAGGTCTGAGCTGAAAGAGACACTGAAGAGGCAGCTCGCTAAATTTCTTGCCCATTTGTGCTAAAAACAGCAAAATAGGACTGGACTGAGTCCACAGTCAAAGTAGCTTTGAACTTAGAGGGGAAACCCTGGTGGCTCCAGTCGAGGGCAAGGCTAAGGGGCTGTTCTCTACACAACCACGTAGGAGCCCTGGAGGCAGAAGCAATGATGCCAAAAGCCATCAAATGCCCAAGAAAAGGAGAGAAAAGGGGAAAACTTGCATCTGGCTGCAAATGATATAAAAAAGAATATCTGAAAACCTATGAGAATCAAAAAAACTACTACAAAACAAAAATTCCTGTGAGGTACCAGGACACAAAATTGCCACACAAAAATAAGTGAACTGTTGGAAGATAGAATGGAAGAGAAGACCCCATTTATCAAAACATCAGCTTAAAAGTCATCTTAATGAGAAATATGCAAAACTGTTAGTAAGCCCTGGGGGCTCCAGGGGGCATGGAATGTTCTGTGGCTTTGACTGATGGTTCCAGATACACAGATGTGTTCTCTCTGAGAAAATTCATCACAATTCATTTGTGTACTTTTCTGCATGTTATACTTCAATAAAGAGTATATATTTTTAACTATGGGAAAACCACATGGGGTATATAAGTTAAACATTAAAACATTCCCGAAAATCACAAAGTTGACAGTGGGACAAAGCTATTGGATAGGATAACTCAGCCTCATAAAGGTATTAATTCTTCCCAACTAACTTATAAACTTAGTGCAAACAAACCAATTCTAAAATTCATAAGGAAAACAGAACAAGAAAGAACCATCAGGAAACAGACAAGCAATAGGGGTGGGAGTAGACCTGTCAGGTGTTAAAATACAGAATAAAACCCAAGTTCAAACGTGGCCTTGCTGCAAAGACAGACAAGATGACGTTTAGTAAGAGACCTAATGCTGCCCAAAAATTCGACATGTGATCAACACGGTGTTTCAAACCACTGGGGAAAAGATTAACTTTCTAGTAAATGCTGGTAGGAAACTATATAGCCATTTGGAAAAAGATAACATTAAATGTGTACCTCACCCCGTTTACCAGACCGTGCCCTGAAAGGGATTAAAATCTAAGGTAAAAAATGCTACTGGACAGGTTCTAGAAGCAAACAGGGGTGAATTCCTTTATAACTGAAAATGGGGAAGCCTTTCAAAGCATGACTGAAAATCCAGACATGATGAAAGGAAAAGACTGAGAAATCTGAGTACATTAAACAACAATAATAAAACAAAGAAGCAATCCAAAAAGGTTACACAGCAAAAAACAGCAGAAGCAAAGTCAAAAAAGATAAACACCACACTGGGGGAAACCATTCACAACTTATATCGAAGAAAAAGTATAATCTTGTTCATGTATGAAGCGCTCTTGAGAACTAAGAAGAAAATGACCAAACTTGACAGAAAAATGAGCAAGAGACAGCTACTACATTTCCAAAGAAATAAATGCAAATGGCCCTCAGGCATAAGGAAAGGCGTTCCATCTTGCTGATAATGAGAAATGGCACAGAGAGGCAGTGGCTCTAAGCTTAGGAGACTGCGCTGGTGGAACATAAAACAGCACAAGCCCCGCGTAGGGAACTGGGAACAGTCTAACAAAATCCCAGAGCTGTGACCCAGCAATTCCACTTCTGCATCGACTCTGGAGCTACGCTTCCAAGCAAACAGGCCCAGGGCTGGTCAGAGCGGTCTTGCTAAAGCCAAAGATTACAAACAACTTAAATGCCCTTCGGTGGGGAGGTGGCTGAATAAAGACAGAATAACTGCTACCCAGTAGAATACTATACAGCTGAAAAAAAGAACAAGGAGGATCTCCTTATATTATTTCTTCTAAATGGTTAGGAGAAAAAAGCAAGAGACAGAACAGTATTTCTCCTCCTTTGGGCAAGAAAGGAGGAGAGAAATAGTAAGATGCTCTCTTATAGTTGTTTCTTTGTACCAAAAGACACTTCCAAAGGTTAAGACACAAAGGAACAGGCTTTTCCACGATGGGAAGAGGGACTGAGGGGACAGGAGCAGAAGGGAGACTTCTGGGTCTCTTCCTCTCTTTTAGATAGTTTTGACTTTTGAATCACATTAAGAGTTTTACACATTTAAAAAATTGAATTAAAAAAGCCAACCCTGAATCCAAGCATATATTGAATTGGTGATGTGGAGAAATGGATACGTAGAAATATATGTATGTAAGACTGGTTTTTGCAGTTCTGGGGGCATGTCACCTGAAGTAATTCAGCTCTGTGTGGTTTTCACCTTGATATACCGGTAAGTTCTTTTGGCTTTTGAGTTTTAGGATCACTGTTTGTGTTTTTTTTCCATTTTGATTTGTTTTATACTCATGAAAAACACTTCAATGGTTTCAAAGTCAAATGAAAATTTCAAAAATAGACTGAAACACAATGAAACACAGGCTACAAAATAAGGTACAGTCCACACTGGTTGGCATCTAGCCCCTGGCCATGTCTCTCCCTCCCCTATAGCTAACCATGTGCTTTCTCTTCTGATTTATTC